CGCAATATAGGATTCGATTAGCTCGCGTTCGAGGATGATAGAAATTAGTGTTCAATACCATCTCTACCACGTAGAATCGTTGTTGGCGAATATGCGATATTAACGGAGAAACGCGAACGGAAATGATCGAACAATAGACTAATGGGAGATAAAGGGAGCATTGAAAACACGTCGATCAATTAATTTCGCAGAGTGGACGCATTCTAACGCGTATCCGGATCTACTACCTAACAACCAGCACGCACATTTTATCGTTTCTGCGGAGCGGAGCGGTCTCGGAATTCTCCCGTTGAACGAATATCAATGCGGTAGGTATCGTTCGTGCCTGTAATATCCGATATTCGATTCGACCAAGTAGCGACCAAGCTCGATCATTGGTCTTGACCATTACTACGATTTATCCTGTTTTAAGCTCTCCCTTCCCCCCTCCCCTCTCCCTCCCTCGTCTAAATTTATCGAATATATTTCGTTTCCTTTCCACAGGAAAAATATAAAATATAGCTAAGCAGAGAAAGAGAGGGGGGGAGGGCATTTGTATAGATATACTCAGAAGATTGTAAAAAAGGAGCAACCGTTTTTCTTAACGGATCAGTGAGAAAGATTGTGTGCGTCCAGTGTTTTCCCTTTTCAAAGGATCTTTTCAAGGTGTACAATAAAAGAAAGCGAACGTGTTCTTGGTACGGAAAGTCCAAGCTCGTTTAATTGACGTCTACGAGAAGCGCGTGTGGCCTTTCCATTCAATGCCATCTCGCTCGACGTCGTTGGATGATGTTGCGCATTCCCCGAGTAGCGATTTTTTATTCTTTACATTTTTCACGTTTTTCCGTACATCGTACGCGACGGAATCGAATCGATAATGAGATATGAAAAGTCTTGAAAAATACGTATATACGTATGCGCGATACACGAACGAGGTACAATACATTGCTGAAGTCGATTCGCAATAGATTTACATAGTTCGGGATAAAATGGAAATTGGTCACACACGCTCAGACTTGTCGAAAATATGTTGGTGCATCAATCGTGACGTGACAAGAATTTGACTTTTTCTTTTCTCTCTCTCTCTTTCCCATCACGTCATCTACGATTACTCACGTTCCGATGTACGTCGTAGAAATGTCGATCCGAGGAGCGGAACTATGCCTCGGATGTTCTCTTTCTAAGGCCATACACATCTTTTTGTATAATAAGCGAGTGATATTGAGTCATTACGAAAGTTTACAATGCTTCATTAAAGGGGAAAGCGTGTGCGCGTACATACACATCGAGGTTGACGTAGTAGATATCGCTTTGTAAAACGTAGCCTCGAGTCATACACAAGTATCACGTTCCCGCGAAAACGTTTTACTTTTATTTTATTATTTTGCTTTTGAGGAGGTTTTTTAACATTTACCTCCCACAAATTCTCTTTCGGTCGAAAGTCAAAATGAATTAAAGTACTTCGATGAAGTTAATTATTAAACGAGTTTCCAGTTCGGAGTAAATTTCACGACGCTTCTATTCTAAATGCTATTTTTATTCTGACAAAATATTTTATTTATATTTTCTTATGCTATAACGCTATTTTTTTCTTTTTTTTTGGCGTTTACAAATAGATCGCGTACGAACTTTTCAGCGGACAAATTTTCTAGAACAATGCGGTCAAGTTCCAATGGATGGCCTTAAAAATGGACGTAGGTGAAGGTAGGTAGGCTCTAAAATGTAGTTTAGATAAAAAAAGTACCTACAAACATAATTTAATACTCTCCCCTCAAATTGTACGATTCACATCGTACATAGACATATTCTTGAATAATAAATACGTGCACATATTTATCGATAGAAAGTTTTTTAAAACGTATGAGGAAGAAAGAAAAGGAGAAAGAGAAATAAAATGATGACATCGAAAGAGTCTTACTCGAGTCAACCGACCTACTTGATCACTACAGATACCGCTACTTGGCATCCAGTCGACGTTCTTCTCTCCTCTCTCCCCACCCAACTCGTCTAAGCTCGGTTATTACCACGCTGTCGTAAGCACGGTCCTAAGATTACAGAAAACAGTCACATCTCTCTTTAGTGAGTGAGAGAGAGAGAGAGAGAGAGATGCAAGTAGAAAATGTCGGTAATGGCGATGCAACGCTAAAAGATCATGCCAATGTGAAATGAAGTGAAGTATGTTTTCTCTCTCTCTCTCTCTCTCTCTCTCACTTTATTGCAATAGCGACCATTTAAGAATTCATATAACGGGTGACACTCGAAACGACTCAAAAATTGCCGAGAAAATGCGATAGCTCGTTCTTTCATTTTCATTCTATTTTGATTAGTTTACTTTCTTCTTTTTTCTTTTTCCATAAGAATGATTCGAATCTTTTTCCCGAAGGTTCGTTCTTCTTAGATCCGACGAAAGTTTATAACTCGAACGCGAAAAGTATAAAATGGATTGGAACTTTTCTCCCGTTATTTTCCATCGGCTCGGTCGATTGGTCGGTCGGTTCACATAGTCTAGTCAGCAAACGCAGAATTTCTACTTTTCCTCGAAGGAGTACATTAACGGAGTTATGATACCCGGTTTATCGCAATGGCGCACCTGTTACTTGCACTCTGCATATTTCTGCGCAATTTCATGTAGCGTCGAGAGAAAAGTGAGAATCTTTGAATAATTGATTCCTAATAAATGATACGTGATGTGTATTAGGTTAATTCTTCATAGTGAGAGAGAGAGAGAGAGAGAGAGAGAGAGAGAGAGAGAGAGAATTTATCGACTTTAGCTAATAATAGTTTTGACTTTACTCGTGCATAAGTTTCTCTCTCTCTCTTTCTCTCTCGTTTTCTCCTTTCACTCGTTAGTTTCGATAGCAGCATGAAGATAGAGAGGCAGAGCGACGAAAGAGAAACGAGGCCTGCCGTTAGGGGAAGAACAAAAAGAGAAAATCAACATTCTCCCTGGTCACCGCGGTACAGCAACAGGTCGTGGACGATACAAATGACCATGAATGTGCGTTTCCTTTACCGTTTCACCTCCAATATGTCGATAGTATTGTATCACCTATCTATTTTCGTTTGCTTTTACTAAACTTTGTTCTTCCATTCATCTATATCCCCTGCGACGTTTCTTTCCTCTCTTTGCTCTCTGTGCGCGTGCGCGCGTGTTAAAATTGATGAAAATATTTGTTGAGAGGAAATATAATACGTGTACAAATATAAAATGTGACATAAAAATACATCTACTTGCTCGGAATAAAGTACGAACGGATATCGCAAACTGATATAATCTCGCTTCGATAGATCGAGTTTAATTTGACGGAAAATGTTATAATTTCATGGCAGACGAGACTGTTTGCCCCGAACAATATATACATATCTATGTATATGCATATTATTAATTACCGCTATTCTGCTATTTCATTAACATAAAGTAGATAGAATAATTGAATCACGGAAGCGGAGGATAATTGAACTAAACTTTATTATTTCGTTATTATCGAACAAATATAGAAAATGGAAGCTTTGGACTATTGTAAATAATTTGAATTATTTCGAATTGATAGAGTGATGGCCGTTTGTTCCCTTTTTGTTTCGTTTTTTTTCTCTTCTCGTAGACGACTGATTTCGTTCACTCGACCTTGATTATCGTCGATTAAACGACATAGAATCGTTCCTGTCACGAGTCGAATTGTACCATAAAGGGTTAATGGCCCTTAAAAAAGGTCGGCACAATTGTCGAGACAACGCTCTCGTATGTGCCGTGTTGCTTCCACACGTATCGTGTATAGATGTTATTTCTTCGTTCGTCGACGTGGTCTTTTGTGCATTGCGTAGTTCGAATATAAATGAAAGCAACGACACCCTATATATATAATACTGCGCGGAGACATAACGGTCTCTGTCAGATACCTTGATCTTTTCTGCAACGATGCCAAGTGGAACGCCTATATTTACCGACACACGTGCGGTAATACGTTCGATTATGAATACGAAATGCCATGAGCGATTAAACGAAGGAGTTTTTTTTTCTTTCTTTCGAATAATATAGTCCGTACTCTCCACTCGTCCTATTATCATTATGTTTCGAGGATGAAAATGTGCGTTGTTTCTAAAAAAGGAAAGAAAAGAAAAAGTAAAGTAAAAAGAAAAATTATTTTGATTATAAAGAATAAAAAGAAACGTCTAGCGTGGTACAAATGGATCGTATCGGTATTACCATCGATCGTCTTTATCTTTTATGTATTTAGAACAATACGTATCGTTATTCGCGAGTATATTCTATATCGATATAGAACGTATTCGCGAGTAACCCAGAAAACTAAAAAAGACTAGTATAGAAAGAAGAGGAAGCAAGAGAGACATTGGAAACGATGAAAATCGCGAAAATCGCGTGGAACTAAGTAAAAGGACTTAGAACCTGTTAGTTTAATCGCGTTTTCGGTATTATCCGAGAGATTGCCGCATTGCCAGTCGACGAGTATGCGTGCACAGGTGGTGCGTGCCCTCGTTAAGGCACAAAAAGGGAAGTCACGATCGTGAACCTATCTGTGTCATACACGCGCACGGGTCCAAAAGCATAACTACGATCGAGAGAAGAGACCCTTTACGTAACCCGCTGATGTGACCCGCTTTCGGGAACGTATAGAGTTAATTGCACGCGATAAATTGTCCTTTCCCGTCTATTCCCTCACGACACGAGCTTCGTCCGTTCTTCGTGAATTACCTTTCATTTCAGTTCTGACCATGCTTTTCCGGCTACATAACTACCTTTCTATGCCTAGAAAACATTCGGTTTGTTGCTCGCAGTATAATCGGATCGGTTGGCAGCCTGCTGGTTGGACCTTTCCTCGCTTTTTACAGGAAAGGAACAACTCTAATACAAGTTGGGATCGTACATCGACGTTTTCAAATATGTCATTGATTTATTTAAATCTTTTAAACACACACACACACACACACACATATATATATATGTATATATAATATGATTCGAATCTCGAGATTTTTAATATCCCCTTGTTTGTTTTTCGTAGCATCCGGATCTGGATCGGTAATAGGAAGAGATCCACTTCCGCCGAGAGCAGTTAGTACGTCTCATTTGCCCGAAAGAACTCTAACTCAGCCACCGGCTGTGGAATCGACGTTGTCATCGACCTTACCATTGGCACGAAGCACCAGTGGTCATTGTCAGCAGCATTTTCCTATTCATCGATCGAGCTCGCAAGAGCAGCAACAGCAACAAGAACAGCAACGATTGCAGGCTGCCGAATCGCAAATTTTACGGGCCTCCAGTAACGGGGATATCGGAACTAGCCTAGCACAGTGTGTATTCTTTCTCAACGAAGACAGTTTCGCGACAAAAATTCAATGGGAAAAACAAAAGGGAGACATAGAAAAAGAGTACAAGTTGTCCGAATCAAAATGTGATAAAGAAACGAACGAAGGCGAAATATTTACTTTTGTATCGAAATTTGTATATCCAAATTTAAATGCTTTCTGACGCGAACTATCGCGAATTCGCCTAAACGAGAAAATTCAAATTCCTCGTGATGATTTAATCGGCATCGAAAATCGTCAAACGATTGGTAATTGGCGGTTCAATAAGCGCCGTTATGAATCATCGTGTGTACGATCGTGTTATCGTGATAAAGAAATGGATGTGGTTTTAGATCGAAAGACCGTACCGATCGAATCGTCCAACTGAGAATTAATATTTTAATGAAATTCCTGTCTAACGAAGCGTGCTCCGAAAGTCGAAAGCATATTTTATAAATTCAATTGTAATTTAAATAGATATTTACCATTAATTCGATTTTAAATGAAGTATTAACGAAATAACAATTTTTCAATTTTTACAGAACTTGTAACAATGAAATGAGGAATTTAAAAATGTCATCGCCGAATGGTCATCCGGCTCAAAGATTGCACTCGTCTACCGGACATTTAAGAGTAATGGATTTGAGCGAACATCGAATTTCGAGTCCGAGCGATAATGAAATTCAAGTTCACAGTCCAAGTAAGCTCGAATAAATATAGTACGTCATTGGTACCATTTATTTTTTCACGAATCACTTTCACATTTCTTGACTCGACAGAAGGAAAGGCGTATATATTTATTTGATCGTTGTAAATGTTTTGTGAAAACTGATACTGAAAAACGGTATTGATAGCTTTCCTCGATTGCTATTTTCTTCATGCTATTTCTCTTTCTTTTTCTCCCCTTTTTTTATAATTTTTTTCTTTTTTTTTCCTTCTTCCTTTATCTTCTTCTCTTGGCAGCATTCATCAACCGATATCGAAGCTGTCCTCTATCGAGAATACACATTTTATTGGTATTAATCGAAGAGAAAGCCATTTTCATCTCCTATTTTGCGGTCACATTTTCTTTTACATTTCTTTCCTTGCAATTGCATGCGAGTAATCATCAAAACTTATTATCGATTATTCTCTTCGTTCGCAACAGCACACGGGGCGTTTCTAAATCGCCAAGCAATTTTCGCTGGCACCAAGTCGCGTTTCATTTATTTTCTCGTTTAATGAATACTACTAGGGATTAAATACTTCTCTAATAAAAAATGCTGGACAAACAAGCAGAACAGAAAGTCTGTTTATGATCGAACAATTAAATTCCGTCGATCGGAAACGATAGAGGAAAGTATATATATCTTTATTTGCAATATGTTTGAATTTAATGGAAGAAATTTTTTACTTTTCCCTTCTTCCCGGTAATGTAAGAAAAAGTATAATATCATAATAATATATAGGGAGCAAGTGGATATTCGGTAAATTTAATTAAGAATAAATTTAATTTGATAAATTTAATCAAGAATGTTTTTTTTACAGTCGAAAGGAAAGTCATTGGCTCGATTGGTATAGACGTGAACCGAAGTGGTGGTAGTGGGGTAAACATCAGAGGGAATCAACGGATACGCGAGAGCACGGAACTACTTCACAAAAGGGTGAGTAAACTTGCTCAGTCAAAATTTGTTCAAACTTAGAGGAGACGTTCGATTTTTATTGGCATGGTAGCAGAGCATGGAAAGATTCCAGAATAAACGTAAAAATGCCTTCATCGCCGACACACACACACACACATTCCTTCTATCCTATGGCACTCTCTTATTGCGTTTCATCGATCGAGCGTAGCCTCCTGCATTATCGTCCGAGCATGTAAATCCCATTAGTTCGATTAATTAAAATCTTGTCTCGGGCAGCGTAATGTGATACGCACGCGCGCCCATACCTCTACGCGTACATTTGTGTACGTGTGCGTGTGCATGCGCGCTGATTCAAAATTAATATATAATATAGTAATCGTATATATACATATATATCTCCATGAATCCTCGAATTGAAAATTTATCACACATTGATGTCCCCGAGGATCAAACCGGAAAAATTTTGCGATAAATAATGCGGGAGTTGATATCCGACGCGATCGATCTAATTTAGAAGTTCGAGCTTTTAAAAAATCAAAAAGAAAGCGCTTTTTATTTTACTTTTAAAATCGACCTGTAAATGATAAAAAAGAAAATTGAAAACGGATTTCTCCGTCAAATTCTCCATCCAAACGTTAAGATTTATATAAGGTTTCGAAGAAGAAAAAAAATCCGACCTTTGAGTTGTAATAAAATACTAATATCTATGTCGTAGTACACTCACTGGAATTAAGTAAACGTAGATTTTTCGTACTTAACATGTTCACTTTTGAATCATCATCATTGCTGTTTTTTGATGGAATCGTTTGAAATTGAAAAAAAAGAAAGAAAAAAAAAACTCTGGCATGCACTGACATAGACATTTCACACGCACGAAATAAAAAAAATGAATGAATGAATGAATTACAAAGAGAATCGAATCGCACGTTTATTCTCAGTATTCGCCTCAGTGATCATAAAATCGTTGCTAAGCGTCTAGAAGAAAAAATTACCTTTAGAAAATAAAATTCGTACAGAGGAAGAGAAGGTACTCGGGTAAAAAGGATCAAAAGGAAGGATGCAGAAAGAGGATGGAACAAGAAGAAATTCCTCCTTCTCTTACTCTTACTCTCTCTCTCTCTCTCTCTCTCTCTCTCTCTCTCTCTCTCTCTCTCTCTCTCTCTCTCTCTCTCTCTCTCTCTCTCTCTCTCTCTCTCTCTCTCTCTCTCTCTCTCTCTCTCTCTCTCTCTCTCTCTCTCTCCCCCTTCCTCCCTCTAGCATACTTGCTATAAACAGGACGGAAAAGAGAAAGAAGAGAAGGAGATTAAGAAAATCGAGGGCCAAGATCCTTCGGTCCTGCATACGGTTAGGATTGGTCAGCAAGGGCATCGTCCCAGGGAACCGTGCAAACGAACACGTTAAGGCGCATTCACAAGGATCCGAATAATTTGACGAACTAAAGGGAAAAAGTTCATTGAAACAAAAAAAATACGTTTTCACACACATGAAATATATGAGCAAACATGACACGCGATCTTGCAGCATTGGTTTTTTCTTTCTTTTTTTGAAATTTTTAATCAACTCGTCGAAAAAGGAATCTAAGAGTGTCATAAACGGAAAAAGCAAAACAGGATTTCTTAATTCGATAAGAATGATCGGTTCAAATTTATATATAGTAATTAAAGGGTGCGTAACGATTGATCGATAAACATGAAGAAAATATTCTGATGGTTATGTGCTGTTCCAAAAAATGATATACGATTAGGGAAGTAAGAAAAATAGAATCGGCAGATCGGTGGGCTTTGGAACTGTCGGTTGGATCTTTCAGTTCTTCGACATCAAAAGTCAACTGCAGTCATGACGAGCGCGAAATCAATGTAGTCTGCAAAAAGTAGGGAAGGACGTTGGCCACGGGCCTTCGAAGTTGGAGCGCGATTCGTACAATGGCCGGATTAGAAGATGATTTTGTCGTGTCTTATTCCTTTCTAAATACGAATATTATCAAGCCCAATGAGTTTCTACTCAAGTTTAGCCTCTACTCAAACTCCCTATCAATTTTCTTACAAATTCGTATAATTGCGAATGTACCCCGAAATTTTCTCCAAGAGAGAAAGAGAGAGAGAGAGAGAGAGGAGAAAGAGAGATGGTGGGGGTAATAGCGGCGTCTGGCGGAGGGATAAAGATTCCGTTTACGTAGTACATTGTACCGCGGTAAAGTCGGTGAAGAGAGTCGAGGCGAGTCGAGCCGAGTAACCGATCAGAACGGGCACGACGCCAGTCTTCCTTCCAAAGGCTTCCAATCTTTCAACTCGTCAGAGCGTTATCATCCACGAAGCGCAGTCTCTCGTGCCGAGCACACGCTAGAGTTATTTTCCGAGAGTTTGTATTATTAGGCCCATCTTTCTATCTCACTAAACTTGATCCGTTCGATCGTGAGTAGTCTACGTATAGATAGCTTGTGAACGAGAAAAGTGTGTGCATTTGATGAATAGACTTGTGTGCTTTGTGTCTAATCGTTTGATTATGTTCGATGTTGTTTCAATTAAATTTTTGTTATGCATAAAGTAACACGTTTCGATAAAAACTAATCGATCTTACGTCAGCGCACCAGTAGATCAATCGATTCCCTAAATTGATTGCCTTCACTGGAATGAAATAGCAAAAGTATCAATTGGGATATCGTTTGGCCGTCTACTCTTACGAGCTTTTCTATGATACATATTTTCGATTTGTCCTTTAGAATCCTTCCTTTAGGAATATCGCGATCGGTTGAGAGACACTGCAACAAGGCGACGCTCCAAGTCGAATAACCGCGATCGAAAGGAAGGTGGAGGACCAGTTTTGCTGATGCATTTCGATTTCTTCCTACCACGAATACATACTTTCGAATCTCAGTAATCTCTTAAAGTTCATGCGTTACGTTCTACGCATTGATGACGTTTAAATAATTATCATTAAAATTCTTTATCTATTTTAAAATATTACATTCTATCGATCGATGAAAGATCTCAACAAATGAATCCTATGTATCCCACATCAATTACCATACAATGTCAAAACTCTCTCCTGCTCCGACGAAATTCTCGAAATCGATAAAGCCAACAAACAAAAAAAGAATCTTCTCTCCGACCGTGCCAATAAAATAGACTAGCCAGGACATAGGGATTTCAATTGATGGATCGTTTAAGTAAAGGCAATTGCATGTCTTCTCGAACAGAGCAACGTTAATTTGGCCCACCAAAGAAGAATAGCTGGTGGTTCACCGACAGCAACGGCGGCGGCAACGGCAACGGCAACGGCAACGGCAACGGCAACGGCAACGGCAACGGCAACGGCAACGGCGGCAGCAACGGCGACGGCGACATCGACGCCGACGATCACGCCAACGCCAACTCCAACTCCAACTCCAACGTTAACTCCAACGTTAACACCCACACAGATTGGAACGAATGATCTTGTTCGGGTCTCTGCTGGTGAACTCCTTGGAAGGACGCACGAAGAACTGGTTCTGTTGCTTATTCAACTACGTAGGCAGAACGCGACCCTTCTCAAGGCCATGGACAATTGTAACATGGAAATTGAGGCTCAGGTCCGATAAAATCCATTTTCATTCTCATCCGATCAAGAACCGATTTTAAAAGTTCATTTGCTGAGGTCTTTCATGGAATTGCTGTCAGTATTTTTGATGATTGTGCTTAAACACGTTGGATTAATTAAAGAATCGTTCCAACTTGTTATATTTTTCATTTTGATTTTCATTATCTTTCTGTTGCGTAAAAGGCACGTGAATGAAATTTGAATGATCGTTCGATATTGGCACGGCTTGAGCAACGGCTTCTTTGCTGTTTACTCGTCTTGCTTTATATCCTCTCATCTTCCTGCAAAAAATAACGTGCTTACTTGTCGTTTTCTAAAGAATATCGTATTTCAATGTCGGCCTTGGAAGCGTCAGTACGACAGTATACTCTTGACCGTCGCCGAGACGCATAGGAAACCTTTCCAACTTTAAATGAAACAACGTCGTATCTCGCAATCAAATGTATCTCAATGATGAACGGACCCATTTTCTATATCCATTATATTTGGTTATCCTAAATCTACTTTTTTTTTAATTGATTTGCAAACGGAAGTTTATTTATTTGTTAATTGACAATGCTTTTCTTTTCTTTAACATAGGCAAGATTGACAGAATTGGACACACCAAGGCGTTTGGAGAATCTTCAAAAACTTGAAGAGTTAAAGAGACACCTAATGAATCTTGAAAAGCAGGTAAAATAATATAGAAAGAGGGGGGAAAAGGAAAGGAAAAAGAAAAGTTTGCAAAATGTTAAATGACGCTTAATCTTTAACAAATAATCTTAAACGAACTGATAAAGTCTTTATTATTGATGATCAGTACGAGAAAGGGAAGCCTCTGATAAATCTCGTCGACAACATGGTCAAGCTCGGCTCTTTATACAATCGTAATACCGCCAATGGAAGTAGCAGCATAACATCTTCTCGTAATGATTTATTCCAAGAGAATACGAAAAATCATCGCGATCGTTTGGAATTTAATCAAAGAGTACAAGAACAACGTTTGCTGGCCGAAGAACGCAGAGATTGGAATAGACTCAGTCCAGATCATGGACAATTGCAGGTAATCAGCAAAAGTTGACATCTGATCGAGTAAATAACATGAAGTGAGTAATTGTTAAAAGAGTTCAGACGGTGACTGTTCCAGATAAGTTGTCTTTCATGTTTTTTTTTTCATCTAACATATTTTCTCGTTGAAACGCGATATCAATGATCGATCTTCAGGCTTGAAAGCTCACACTCGATATTATCTTTATGTCGTAGGCCAAGGTGCAGCAGTTGTACAAACTGGACCGATTACTTCAGGAAGAGTCAGGTACCCTTCATAGCCTTCAACAGGACAAGGTTCGTAATACGATCGTTTATTTAGACCTTATTCAATTCGTTTAGTATATAATTATTATCAAACAAATATCAAAGAACATTTCTTTACAATTCTTTATCACTTTACATTGCAATTAGTCTACTCCATATGTATGTGTCCTTTAAGGTTAATTTCAATTAGATTTATTTTGCTTTCCATTATTTCTACTACTTCTACTATTACATATTTCCACAAGAGATAAATGACAGTTCTATCTGCTAATCCCTCCGTGTATGTTTGCGAGCGTATTTGCCGACTATAAATGTTGTGAACTCTCTCACGTAGGAGATTCTAGAAAAAGCTCTTGGAGGCTTGCGACACAAATTGCAAGGCAGCAGAAGCAACTTGATTGAAGCAGAACGCTACAGGAAGCAACAACTTTTATTGGAACGCGAATTGAGCAGAGTCAGAGTACTATTGGCACACAATTCCAAGGTAAAATATTCGGAAAAACGTCCGTGATTGGAAAATGTCATTCGTCGTGTAATCGATCGGGAAAACTTCGATGATCAAATTTGGACTTTTCGATCGAATTATTATATTGAATGATTCGTTTGTTTGAGTATCGCATCATAACAGGCGTATATAAAATAGGGATGGAGTTTGTTTAAACGATTAAACGGTGGATTCGTTGTTTCCAGGTAAAGCCGGTATTCTCAGGTCAGGTAAATGGAATATTTACAAAGCCAATACGTTTAAGTTTCGTTGAATCATATCTTCTTTAATTTCGACATTATCCTTTTTATCGTCGTTTTCGTCGTTGTTACATATAAATGCGTTGTTCTACTTTTTTTTCCTTTTCCTCCTCCCTCCCTCCCTTTCTGTATTTTTTTCTGTCTTTTTCATTTCCTTCTTACTTGTGTCATACTTGTTGAACCTAGATACATTTTCGATTCCTTTTTCAGAAACTAGAAGAAACCGTAGCAGAAAATGCCAGATTAGAGCAAGATTTGGTAGTCCTAAGGCAAAAATTGCAAGCTTCTAAAAGATACGCTGGTAATATGAGTAGAGACCCATCAGGTACAACGGCTCCTTTGGAAATGGAATTGAGAAGAGTTCAACAATTGGTTGGTGATCTTCAAAGGCAGAGAAAAGAGCTCAGTGTTCAGGTTCAACAGCTCACCGAAAAATCTCACAGTTTAGTACAACAAATTCGGCCACAATCATCTCCTGGTATAATCTTTTTTCCAACTTTTTCCAACATCTTCAAAGAAATTTCTCGCTCCCTTGATCGCATTGGACGTATTAACCGTCTATGTAATTACGTAATTACAGCTCCGCCTGTTCATCATTCAAAGAAACGCAATCAAAACTCTTGGCTGGAAACCGATTTAGATTCTGGGATTACTCTTGATCACGGCCTTGGCTCACCGGTGAGCCCATCACTGTTATCCTCGGCACATGGAAAACAAAACCTGGAGAGTCCTTATCGTCGATACGCATCACCAACGCAACACAAGAAGTCACCATCGCCAAATCGGCAACACGTCGAACAATCTTCTGTACAAAGCTCGCATAACCATATCTCGAGCTTGTCACCGCAATTACGGGAACAAATTCAGCAACATCAATTGAAGCAACAATTGCTGAAAGATCAAATGCAGGGAAAGGGCAGTTTGATCCAAATTAATGTTTCTCCATTGTACGTCAATACCGAGTCCAGAATTCAAGGTAAGAATAAAACGAAAAAGAAAATAAAAGAATAAATAAATAATTTAAAAAAAATATATATATAAATTCATATGAAATATTGTCAGTGATATATAATGAGAACGCAATTAAATCTTCGCTTTACGGACGCTCGTAGATACAAGCAAAAGCAACGAAAGCGGGAACCAAACGAATAGTGGTGGGCCAAATATTTTACCGGAATACATTCCACCACCACCGATTCATCCTTTTAATGAAGAAACATCTTTAACGAATGACAATTACAAGCAAAACGAAGATAACAAATTTGCAGGTACGTTGATGGTCATTCAGTAACTAACGAACAACTATCAATGAAAAATGTTTAAAAACGTTTAAGAGGAAATAATGAGTTTTGAATCGTTAGGTTTGTTGCACAATCGAGAGAAGCAAGAAATAAAGACCGTCAGGATCGTTAAACGAGAATCCGAGAGACGTCAAAGGGATCGAGGAGATAGAACTGGTAATATTGGAATTCCATTAACGAACGGACTTCAAGCGCCTGGCGTAGCAAAAAGGTTGTCCGACGATGACGTTGGTGGTACACAGAAATTCGAAGTAAGATGCGGCGCAAATGATAGAAACTTTACACTTGTTCTTCCAGTTAATCAATTATTATTCGTGCTATTCCCATATTCGTGATTCCAGAAGCCCCAGTTGGGTAAAGTCATTGAAGAAGTACCGATCGTTCACGCTCAAAGTACCGTACACCTGACTGAGCTTGACGACGTACAATTCCAAAGAAGTATGTCTCTTCCACGAGGATTTGGTGGTCAGCGACATCAGCCAAGTGTTCATCATGTTCCTGTTGCTCCACCACCTCGCAGCGATAGCATGCACGCTCTTAAAACGATTATGATGCGAAGACACAAAGTTAAGGTAATCTCGAATTACTTGGATATATTTCTTTAAATCCTTAGTCCAGATTCAATGGACACGTCCAACTATCCAATCAATGTCTCTTAGCCATCCATGTTTCCTTTCGTTTTGTTACTTTTCTTTCTTTTTCTTCTTCTTCTTCTTCTTTTTCTTCTTCTTCTTCTTCTTCTTCTTCTTCTTCTTCTTTTGCGCCTATCTCACGTCCCGATTTCACGGTGTAAACCCATTTTGGTTCTTTTACCTTACGTTCGTTCTCTTTCTGATATGATCACTGCAGTTTGAAAATCACGACGGAAGCTCCGATAGCACATTGTCACCACACATCGATAGCCCTACGTCGAGTTCGCAGATGCCAATTAGTACGTCAAACTACTCAACGAGTCCACCTTATAGCCCAAGCCATCATCAGAATTATCATCCTGGACAATCGATATCGAAGGGATTCAATCAACAACAACAACAACAACGATACTACTCGCCGCACCCGCAATACGGACAATACGAGAATTTCACGTCATTCGCAAAAAACTCAATAGCATTGAGCCCAGAAACGATCTCTCTTAACAATCTCAGTGGCGTACCTCCAGATAGGCCAACATTTGGGTCGATCGTTAATGTGAATAGCACCTCGGATTCCCCACAATTGTCGCCAGTATTCAAGAGCGAGGCCGCAAAGCAGATCATTAAAGAGATGACTGAGAGAAAAGTCGACGGACCAAGAAGAAGACAGATTCCGAAAGAAAAGAGAAGACACTACACCGTTTCTAGTAGCAAACCCGTTCTAGATCTCGAGGACAGCTTCTCCAGGATGGTACCAGACGTTTATTTTATTTCTTATGTTATTCTTTCTTATCCTTACCAGGCTTCTTGGCTCCATCCAATTCCGCTAGTTTTCGGTCTCAAGCTTATTTTTGCTCTTTTTCTATCTTTCGTTTGTTTATCAAGTCGCGTTAACTCGCGACACTGAATAGTAATATTTTTGGGTATGCCAGGGTATGGGTAGAGCAAGAGACGACTTGGACATGGAACAGGCTCTCAGACCTAGGATCAATGCTCCGGACGTCGTAAGATCGACTTTGAGTCACAAGGAGCTGAAATATAATGAGAGTACGATCGATCAACTGTTGGGCACTCCAAATAAGATCGTCATTCCTGAACGTTATATACCTGAACAGGTAACTGTCAAAATATTTCAACTTGTCTGAACTTATGTGCGAGTGTAAATGTAAGAGGAACGCCCTTATTATAATATTATTAAACTTTCATTCGCATATTCTCTAGACGCCAGAATTAACGGCGGAAGAGCAAGAGCAACGTTTGAAGAAAGCGGAGGCCATAAGGAAGATGCTTTCTGAAACGACTGTCACTGCACCCGATGGAACCGGTAAAATATACATATATTTCTATTATATTCTATTCGATCCATATCAATAAATACAATTTGTTTTTCTACCCTCGATTAACTTTTCCTATTTATACCTTCAGATGACGACATCGATCTCGATAAATCGGACACGTTGAAAAGAAAAGTAGTCGAGGAGAAACGACAGAGAGAACACATTCTTCAGCTCAATCAAATTCTTGCGAAGCAAGTGATGGAGAAAAGTAAAATGGTGGCCGGTACGTCGGCGATCTCTTCTTCGATTCGTAAAGAATTTAAACGATCTCATTTAGAAACGTCTTGCATGGTTACAATCATCCTTCTTTTATTTTTGTTTTCTCTTTCTTTTTTTTTCCCTTTTTTTCTTTTTCGTTTTCTTCTTTTTCTCCAAATCAGCTGTGTGATTAGCATGACCAATAATCGGCTTCTTCTTCTTCTTCTTCTTCTTTTTTTTACTTCTCTATATACAAATTATTCAATATACGAATGCAAATTTTTTTCCCACCACAGTCGATTACCATTTCATACATTCATTTTTCATGAATAATTATCAAAGCATTGTCTTTAGATACCAACTCGCATGGCCTTATCCTTACTCTCTGATATACAACTCGGTATAAATAAGTTGAGCGATAGAAATACATAAATCGAGGGTGAGAGATTTTATTTCGATTTTATTCTTATTTTATTTAACTGTATTATAATTTTTTCTCACTCCTTTTTTGTTTTTTGTTTTTAATACGTAGCGAGTGTTGTTTGGATTGTTTGTGCTGTGTGTAGGTAACCAGGCGCACTGACAGACATGCTTTCTCCCACGTAGGACACACACTCCTTCACGTTTATCGTTTTTCAGGTTTGTTCATATTTTTCCCCTCTCTCTCTTTCTCTCTCTCTCTCTCTCTCTTCATTTTTCTTTCTCTTCTCTTTTTCTTTTCATTCTTTTTTTCCTTTTTTTCTTTCATTTTTAATCATTTTATTTTAACAGCTTTGTACGTCGTTCGTTCGTTGCTTTCACAGCGTGAAACTTCCAAAAAATGATCGTTCATCGATCACTGACCGGATCTTTTTGTCGTCGACAGTCAAGGCACTGGCTACGCTTCCATTGAAGACTGAATCGAGTATAGACGACGAAGACCTCTCTCCTGTCACACCGTTGCCGCTCTATCAGCAAAGAGAAAACTATTACTCCTAAATACATCTGGATGAAAAATCTGGATATATCGTTTCTTTATACTCACAACGACAACGAAAATGGAGAATTTTTGCTCGTCGATGAAGAAGAGGAAGAGAAACGGGAAGAAAAAGAAAAAGAGAAGAAGAAGAAGAAACAGATGCACAATCATTATACTACTGCCAATGAAACGCGCGAAACAAGAAAAGAACATCGTTACAATGGAAATTATAAGAGAATACAATAAATAAGAAGGAAAAAGAAAAATAATGTCTGAGATTCGTCGAAATCGACGATCGAACGAAATGTGCTTTCTATTTTTTTCTTTTTTTTCTGTTTTGATTTATTTCTTTAATAACATTAATATTATATAAAAAATGATAGTGTCGATGTACGAAACACCATTAAAATATGTAATTTAGAATATCAGTATGGGACCGCGGCGAAATGATAGCTAAGAAATAAATAAATGGAAAATAATAAAATGCGTACGTCGAACGAGCTTTTCGGCGAGCTTAGATAATTAGCAATAATCGTAGGTATTAAGGTACAATAATCGCACAACATACTTCTCTTTGGGAATAAATCTAAACGAGATATTTGTAGTTGCCATAAAAATATATACTCGTATATTGAATTTCCCGTAGGATTCTTCAAAGAGGAAAATGTTTCATTTCAAATCGAACATCGTTGCGTTTCGTTCATATCTACAATACAACGCCATCGAATTGATCGTACAAATCGAATTGATTTCTTCATTCGCGACAGGACGTTTAGTATAAATAAAAACAATATCCCAAGAAAAAGAAAACGATAAAACGGAGTGCCAAAAGTCAGTGCGATTAAAGCGCGGGTGCTACGACACTATTGTCAATTACAGATAAATCGTAATTGCGTTAGCGCAGAAACAAAAAATCATTGGCGAAGACATTTGAATAATAAAAAAAAAATATGTCGAGCCTCTCTGCCAAGGTTCTTTTTATAAGCGCGTTATTATAATACTATATACGTACGTACGCACGCGCGCGTATGTGTGCTGGATATGTATGCATGTATGTATGTATACACACATATAGGGATACATTATATATAAATATATACAAAGGCTTACACTTTCTCTGTGCGAACGTGTATTATTATGACGCGACTGTACATAAGAAGACTATTAGATACGCAAGTGCGTAGCAGGTGTGAATTTGTGTGTGTGTGTGTGTGTGTGTATGTATATATATATATATATTATATGTACACACACACACACACACACACACATAATATAAAATATAAAATAAAATAGATAAAAAAAGAAAGGCCCCTTGAAAAGTACGGCCCTAAATTTGATGAAAAGAGCAAAAAGATGTTCCTTCGTCGATGTGCTGGCCTTCCGTCGACGCTGATGGATATTCGCGAGTTTTATCGTATGGTTAGATGGCACTTTAATAGATACATACATATGTTAAATCGACGGTGCGAGACTTCTTATATTACGTATGTATTACACGTAAGGTAACCGAGATCTTTATTGGAGGGCTCGTTAAATAGTCATTGCGTCAAACGCGGTATACGAGAAGCGAAACATGTGTATCCAATTACCGTGACCGCAAAGGAAACAAATCACTGTTATTGTTATATCGATGAAATAAAATTAATACGATGAATTAACCTTATCACTTCCTCGATAATTTTATCCCTCACTCGATACGCGATAATAACAACACAAAGGCATCGAGGACGATAGATTTCAAGTGCGTTATTCGATCAGTCGAAAAAATAGAACGTGCTATCTAATCTAACGCATATATTTACGTGACCGTTATTAAAAATACGATCTATGATAATCGAAGATGTTAAGCCAATTAAGTCGTCTTAACGTCTATCTTAATAAACCTCTTTTGAGATTAAAACTGAATCTTATTTTTAGTTCTTCAGCAAATTAAAATTGAGTCGAGGAACATTGGGTCGTTTGAATCGCAAACTGGTATTCTCTCGGCTAAAAGTTTACACTTTCCATCCATAGAAAAAGACTATAATAAATGTCTAAAATAACTCGAGAAGATATTCTTCGAGATTGTAGAATTCTTGAATCAGTCTTTAAATACTTGACTTTAGGAGAGATGGCTTAAGAGACGGTTTCTTCTTTGTAAAAAGTCAATCGTACGATTGATCGCTTTTTTCAACTTTCAACACTTCCCTCGCATTATTTCAAATGACTTGAACCGCTTTACGTGTCCCTTTGAACAATTTTTGAGATCTCGGGAACGAGGCATTTTCTTTCCGAGAAACCAAAAAAAAGATCGCTTGCAATCTAACAATTGAACAAATTTGAGATAATTTGAGGTAATCGTTCGGAACGAACCCATGGGAAATGCGTTTTGCGGTGGTATACACGTTTCAAGTAAAGTGTATGATTTTTAGTTTTACCGTTTATTAAATATTTTCATAGATATCATTGCACACGCGCAAGTCCGAAACGGAAGAGGAAGAGAAATAACGCCAAGGAGAGACATCGTGAAAAGTTCGAAGGACGGATTCAATCTCGCATGAGTCTTCAGTAGCATGTCTTTTAGTCTTCCCCTCGTTGCGTCTCCTCGTTGTTGACGGGAGGCAGAGGGTCGACGAACTAGCCAATCGTGCGCGAGCCCGTGCACCTGAATTCTAATGAGGGCCCACCTGGGTATATATGAGCTTAACCACCGCATCGAGCACGATTTTTCTTCGACTATCCGGTCACCACAAAGGTGAGTCTTAATTTTATTCCTTTTCTCGAACGGATTCTGGCCTTCGTCTCTCGTATTGCTTCTTCTTTATCTCTTTTTTCTTTCCCTCCCTCCCTTCCTCCTTCCTTCCTTTCTTCCTTCCTTCCTTCCTTCCTTCCTTCCTTCCTTCCTTCCTTCCTTCCTTCCTTCCTTCCTTCCTTCCTTCCTTCCTTCCTTCCTTCCTTCCTTCCTTCCTTCCTTCCTTTCTTCCTTTCTTTCTCTCTTCCTTCCTTCTTTCCTTTTTTTCTTCGTTTTACGATCGATTGAAAAACATTCTCCTCTCCAAAAATATTCCTATCGTCGAGGCCAATGTGCTCGGAGCCGGTCTAGCGAGCGAATCAAAAAATGCATCGAAGAATGCTGCATGATATTGTATGCAAATCGATAGACTAGCTTGTAGGCGCATCATTGAAGCGAAACATTCAACATATGCGAGTAAATCGTCCGTCACCTCGTTAAAAATAAAATCGTTTGAATTTGATGAGGTATGGTACGAAATTTGTAAGTGTCGTTCCAAGCATCGTCGCGCAAATTTTTTTCAAATCTTGCTTTGGGTCTCAACTACGAATCGAGGTTTACGAGACGTCGCGGGTAGGGGTGTTGAGGGAGCTGTTGAGAGAGATATATAGGCAGAGAGAGAGAGAGAAGGAGAGAGAGAGAGAGAGAGAAAGAGAATGAGAAAAGGAGAAGAGAATTTCTACCAGCGCGTTGTTCTACCGACGTGCTCCACTCCCATATTTTCTGCCTCTTTTTTCCTTTTCTCTCTTTGTCTTCCGTTCGAACGAAGGTCAGATTTCAACTAAGAGAGGGTGTGCCCCCTGACAAATTTTTGACACATAACAAACTCGTCGCATTTAGTTTCATACTCGGTTAGATAAAAGAAAACAGAATCGTTTCATTGAAGTTTATCGACTGCGTATTGTCTTGTTCTTTTTGTACTCTACGTAGAATGAGCACAAACAGAACTCGAACGAACGGATGCATCGCGCATTTTAATTCGCACAAAGTGCACAGATGGAAATCAATGTATGCTTTGACAAAAAGAAGATAGACAGAGAAAAGACATTCCTTCTTCGGTAATCACATCGCTGCGCCGCGGCCGCCGTGGTGTTCGTCAACCACGCGGATTATTATTGTCCCTACGAACAACAGAGCCAAGGACGGTCTTTGATCTTCCTTTTTCTCAACAACAAGCTCCCTTTGTTCGCGGTCGGTGTCTTCGCGAAGCGATTTTTTTTTCCTTTTTCTTACAAAAGAAGAGTTCTCTTTTCGTAAAAAAAAAGTACATATACTTACATATTTACATTATAAAATAATTCGAGATGCAGTCTCGAGAGAGCAGACATATTAATGTCATCGTTTTTTCAACGAAATTTATCGTTGGAAAAGGAACAGGAAAAAATCTCAAGTACCTTCGTCACATTGTCAGTGATTTACTCGGTTACGTTCTTCGCGAGTATGCTTTTTAAATGCGTTTCAAAGTCCTTTCTTGTCGATTACCTGCGCGTCGATTTGGCTTGGACTCGTCTTCGTTCGTAAGAGGTATAAAAAAAGATAAAGAAAAAAAAAGAGAACGAGAGAGATAATACGGGCAAGTCTACAAAGACGATGATGATTCACAATGATAATTCTCGGTGATACACCGCGAACAATTTACCGATATTCATTTCTTTCATACAAAGCAATGATTTTACTATTCGAATTGATTGGGGGAGAAAAGAAAAAAGCAATCGGAATTATCGTTCGATGCCGTTCGAAACTCGTATTGAGTTATGAGATTCCTTGTTAGTTTCCTTTCGCATTCCTCCTCGTGATTAGACGTTACGGTAAATTCTAGGATTCTCAGTCTAAGAGAACTCATCGATCGTCACCAATCTTCACATATGTATATATGTATATGTATGTACCCTACCGGGTAAACCGGTCGGTCATTTTAGATCGTTCCCGCCGCTTGCTGTGGCAGTCAGATAGATAACTTGCCCCCACTGGATTTTTTTTGTCTTCCAAATTAAACCGACCAATCGCACGTAGTCGAGGAAGATTCACCATTCGCGAGATCCAGAGAGGCGCGTCGATCATCGTTCGAGAAGGACGTTTACCGTTCCTGTCATCGGCTTAAAGCAGATTTGAATCGATTGTCGAGATTGAGTGCTCATAAGTGTTTCGTTGCTTTATTTAAATACATTTTAATCTAGATTTTCGACAATGCGTAAGATTAAAACATGATGTGCTCGCTCATAATTCGTTCTTCGAAATTTCCATAAACTCTTAATCTATTATATTTTCACAGATAGATAAGAAGCAAGTGGAACATTAACGAAACCACACTACGTGTAATTAATTCAATTGTTATCATCCGTTGACTCAACGATCATTAATTGTTTTTCTTTTCTTTTCTTTTTTTTTCTTTTTTTCTAGCTTTGAGAATGACGCCCTCGACGATGAAACTCTTATTTTCCCTTTCCGTTTTTACAGTCTGCTTGGTCTACGCATCTGCGGGTAAGCATTTACTCGCATATGACGCATTCTAGATAAGATTTAAAATGTAATATTCAATATCGAAGAGACCGAGATCGCGTTCGATATGTGCCAATCTATAAAAATCTTGATATTTCTCTGAATCAGATACGAACGCCAGAGTTGTTTGTTACTTCAGCAACTGGGCGATATATCGACCTGGCGTTGGAAGTTACGGCATCGACGACATCCCAGGGGAATTATGCACACACGTGATCTACTCCTTCATTGGTGTGAGCAATGTTACCTGGGAGGTACTTGTCTTGGACGAGAAGCTCGACGTTCAGAAGGGTGGCTTCAGAAATTTCACCCAACTCAGACAGAAATATCCTCATTTGAAAACTGAAGTCGCGCTCGGCGGTTGGGGTGAAGGTGGCAAGAAATATAGCAACCTCGTTACGGTGAAACAACGCAGAGATACCTTCATAAAGAGCGTCGTTGGTATGTTCTCTCTTAGATCTCTTCTTTAATACGTAATCATGGTATCTAGCATTAAAAATCTGCCATGCTATACAACTATTACACCGTATATAGTTATTTTATGACATCTTCCGAAATCATTCGTTCCTATTGAAGATTTCATGTACAAATACGAGTTCGACGGTTTCGATCTCGACTGGGAATACCCTAGTGCTACGGACAGGGGTGGCAAATTCTCCGATAAGGACAATTTCTTCTACTTCGTTGAGGAACTTAAACGTGCTTTCGATAAAGAAGGAAAAGGATGGGAGATCACAATGGCCGTACCTATGGCCAAGTTCCGTCTCGACGAAGGTTATCACGTTCCAGAATTTTGCAAGTGAGTATATTATTCCTCGCTTTAGTTTCCTTCCCTAATAAATACATTCACATTGTTATCCTCGTATTCAGGTACCTCGACGCGATACACGTTATGTCTTACGATCTTCGTGGAAACTGGGCTGGATTTGCTGATGTCCATAGTCCCCTTTACAAGAGACCGCACGACAGTTATGCCTATGAAAAACTCAATGTGGTAGGTTGATACTACACGTTGATACGTTTCTATGTACGATGATTGTTCATACATAATATAGCGCATGAAGAGAAAAGCCAATTATTCTCCGATCACGATTGCCTTTTATCTATACAGCACGACGGTCTTTTGCTTTGGGAGGACAAAGGATGCCCAGCGAACAAATTGGTCGTAGGTGTGCCTTTGTACGGTCGTACATTCACACTTTCGCGTGGCAACACGAATTACAATCCAGGAACCTACATAAACAAAGAAGCAGGTGGTGGTGATCCTGGACCGTACACACAGGCTAGAGGATTCTTAGCATATTACGAGGTAATTTTTCATAATTTACGCAAGTACACCTATATGCCAACAATTTTCTTTCTTTCATATAGTAAGATATAAGTTAAGGCGAACTTAACATGATCTCCATTATTTAGATTTGCACAGAAGTAAATAATCCTAAATCAGGATGGACAAAGAAATACGACTCCATTGGAAAGGTACCTTACGCTTACAAGGGTAAATATATTTTTTAAATAAAGATACAAATTCATGATGGGACAAGCAAGTTTCGTGGAAGACGAACGACTACAAATTCTTTCTTTGTGTAGAAACACAGTGGGTTGGTTATGAGGATGCCGACAGTGTTAAGATAAAGATGGACTTTATTAGGGAAAAAAGCTATGCCGGTGCTATGGTTTGGGCAATAGATATGGATGATTTCACCGGTCTCTGCGGAGAAAAGAATCCTCTCATGAAAGTAATTCACGATGGTATGAAGGGATATAAGGTCCCTAAGAAAGAACATCACTCTACGCCTACCGTAAGCGAATATGATTTTAAATTTATAGAAGATTAAATGATTAATATCGCGTTTTATTTTCCTGCTTAGCCTGATTGGGCAAGACCACCAAGCACGACGAGTTCCACGGTAGGATACAGCACGAGGGACACTGAAGAAACAACTCGCCCAACTGTGCCAATAAATCCAGGCTCCTCTTCTAAACCACCGGTCGATGATAATGAAAATGTTGTTTGCAAAAGCGAAGAATACATTCCTTCGAAAAATTGTGCTATGGTATGTATCGTAACTTCAGCGTCATTAAAAAAGACAACTTAATGACGTACAAAAGTTTATTTCCCATTGAATGTGAACGTTTATAAATTAAAGAAAAAAAGAAAAAAAAAAACAAAACAAAGAAAAAAACAAGAAAAGAAAAGAAAAAACCCAGACGATCTTCCTCAAGACAGCATCTCAAGTTTGACCATCTTCTTCATTCTCTTCCTACATCACCACCATTACCGCCCATTTACTTCTATCATATATACTTCATATTTTTTTTCTTTTTCTTTTTTATAGTACTATCGATGCGTCTTCGGAATTCCGCAAAGGCTTCAATGTCAACATGGTTTAGTCTTCCACACTAGCATGCATGTTTGCGTCTGGTCTCAAAATGCCGACCGCGAAGAGTGCAGAACTCAATAAATGAATCAATGATATTTTAGTATAGAATATAAGAAGAAATTACACTCTTTTGTATAAATGGGCTGGGAGAAGGGAGGAAAAAAGAAATACCTATCGAATAATAAAATTTTTACGCGTATAATACTCTAACTACCTATCTTCCCGTCGAAATCGCGTTAAAGAAACATTTTATGGAATAATTCGTTAGCGCTTTATAATTATAACTGTGACACGAGTGGGCATCGGATGCAAGTAAATATATCGTTACGAAAAATTTATTTAAATAATTAAAACAGGGAAGTCTAATACGCGGGCCAAGGAAAACAAACGAAACGGCATAAACGCGAAACGAACATCGTAAACTTTTCCTATGGTAGCTTCAAAAATGTAATCTAGTGAATAAAAAGACACCGAAAACCGGCGTTGCCGCAATTGTGCGGTTGGCACGACTGACACACTACGTCGTTTTATAGAACACACGAAAGCATGCCGAATGTTTTTCTCGTGAAGATATAATATGACTGAAAAAGAAAAAATAAATAAATAAAAAATGAAAAAAATTTCATTACTTGTATAAATTTACTTACTATCTATATTTAATTGTTCTATATATGCCCCAAGAGAATTTGTTCAATGTGGACAAAGGCAATGGTTGTCGGACACCCATGGATTAGGATAAAGATACTTAAACCAGTTTAGATTACATAATGTACATGATCTTGAAGAGAACAAGCTACAGGTTAAGCGCGTCGTATTATATTATAGAAAATAAATTCTGATCTAGCTCACTTCTAGTTACTACCACTTGCTATCGTCTAATAACAAAAATGGCGCACACGATGGCGAGATCGAGACTCGGACTATTTGCATTTAAATATAATAATCGAGTGAAACCGCGAATCTTAGTACCTTTAAAGTATCAACGATTATGTTTCCATACAAACTGGATATTAGATGGTATGCAATTTATAGTGAAATATTCGAATTTATATTACGTTTAAATATCACCATGAGGTTAAGATCTCTAAGTAAACTTTTAATAAATTAATTAAAAATTATGTTCATAGAACGAGAACTCTATTACACGCGCGTGTTTACCTTACAAAAAGTTTGTTAAATAATCTTTCCCCAATTGATATTACCATTGCATATCTATGATTATGCAATCGAATCAGAACTTGATATTGTCCTGATCAAAACTGTCAAAAAAATATATTTTAAGGTTAAATATTTAATTTAATTATACTTATAGCAAAGGGCAAAGAATTATTAATGCCATCGTTATCGCCAACCATGGAAACTGGCACGATCGTTAAATGGCTAAAGAAGGAAGGTGACAAAATTAGCCCTGGAGATGCCATTGCTGATATTCAAACCGATAAAGCAGTGGTGGCTATGGAGGTAGAAGACGAAATAGTCCTTGCAAAAATTCTTGTAAGAATTTTTTCGATTCATCTTTCCATATCTATATTCTATCTAGTTTCTCTTAAAGAAATATTTTTCCATATATATCCTTTGTTATTAGGTGCCCGAAGGAACTAAAGATATTAAAGTAGGAACATTGATTGCTCTTACCGTAGACGAGGGTGAAGATTGGAAATCAGTAGAAATGCCTGATGTTTCCGCAGCTATTGCTGCCCCGACACCTTCTGCTCCTGTTCCACCTTCAAGTCAACCAAGTGCGTCAGCCCCACCGGGACAGTAAGTAAAAACCGATATAATTAAAAATAGATATAAATTAAGGTGCATTCTTAAAAAAGGAAGAGAAACAAAATGTACAATTTTTGGATAGCCACAAAACATATTGTCAATATCTATATCTCTTTCAGGCAAAATGTTTCCATGCCTGCACTTTCTCCAACCATGTCGTCAGGTACAATTGTAAAATGGTTAAAGAAGGAAGGTGATGAAATAGAACCAGGAGATGCAATAGCCGAGATACAAACTGATAAAGCTGTAATGACTTTTGAAATGGAAGATGAGGCTGTACTCGCAAAGATTTTGGTAAGTTAAAAACCTAGAAAATCCTATTCTTATTTATAGCATAATGTTGTCTTTTATTCGTTTACGTACTTCTTAATTTTTCATAAAAGGCACCCGAAGGTAGCCAAGTAGATGTTGGTCAATTAATTGCCATTACAGTAGAGAAGGGAATGGATTGGAAGCAAGCTGTCATTCCGCAAGTGCTTAAGGTTGTCCCTAGCGTTGTCCCTACAGTTGCAAAGCCCAGTGAAAAAGGACAGTGCGTATTATCATTAAATATATGGTCAAAAAGTAGGAAAAATATCTAACTTTCATTTTATTTACACATAAATATATTTGTATTATTTTCATAGGGTATATGGATTGGCAGTCAAACTATTGTTAGAGCAATATGGTTTAGATCCAAATTCTATCAAGGGTACTGGTCGTCCTAATCGAATTCTAAAAAGTGACGTGCTAGCATACATACAAGCAAATAATATAAAAAAGGTTCAGCTTGAAACCGGTGAATATATTTTTCAAAGCTGCACTCTTTTAAGAAAATCTATTTACCATCTCTAATTTTACCATTTCTAATACCATGTAGCTACGCCGGCAAAGGTCGAACAAATTAAAAAGGCACGTCCTACGGTACCGGGTCGCCCATCAGCTTACGAAGACATACCCGTATCGAATATTCGAAGTGTTATCGCGAAACGTCTTGGAGAGTCCAAAGTATTTTTTTCTCGCGAGCATATTTTTCACATATATAATTCTTTCTTTTTTTTTTTTTTTTTTTTTTTTCTTTAATTAATCTTACATCTGCTAAAACAAGTCTCTCTTTGCAGTCAAATATACCTCATTCTTACTCGTCTATTGACATCAGAATTGACAAACTGCTCGAAATTCGAAAGCAATTAAAGGAGGACGGTATAAATGTATCGGTCAATGACTTTATCACAAAAGCTGTAGCTCATGCGCTTGTCGAATGTCCCAGTATCAACACCTTATATACGAATGACAAAGTAAGGGTACATTGAATAATCAGGATTGAAGATAATATAAAAACATTTATAATATATTCTCTTAGGTTGTGCGCCCTCCAAACATAGATATTTCTATAGCAGTTGCGTCTCCTACGGGTCTCATTACGCCGATTGTATTTGATGCGCCATCCAAAAGCTTATTAAACATTTCTACGAGCATTAAAAAATTAGCCGAAAAGGCAAAAGCTGGAACTTTGAAGCCACAGGAATTTCAAGGAGGATCGTTTACGTAAGAATAAAGAAAAGATTTGAATTAATAATACGAAATATATTCTAATGTAAACGCGCAAATTCATTTGGAAATTTACACTTTCTAGAATATCCAATCTGGGAATGTTTGGTATTAAAGAATTTTCCGCCATTATAAATCCTCCGCAAACCGCGATCCTTGCTGTTGGAACAGGACGCCCGGAACTGAGTAACTTAATAAAAAAAAAAAAAGTCAAATTAACATTATTACAACATGACAAAATTATATATTATTTCAGGTGATTCTTTAAAAGCTATCACCAAGATGATAACAACATTATCATATGATAGACGTGCCATTGCTGAGGATGATGCAGCTGACTTTTTAGCAGTACTAAGAGCTATGTTAGAGGATCCAGCTTTTCTTGCTATTGGAAGAATCCAAGCTCTGAGACATATGAACGATTAAGCATAGTAATATAGTTATCTTCTCATTTAATTGTCACTTGTCATCAAACTTTTATATATATCATTTTCTTTTTTCTTAGCAATGTACATACAGTAAGAAAGGGAGGATGATCATAAGATTTACAAACATGTTGCATAAATCTTAAAGTAAATTTAAATAAAACTCGAGTATAAATAAATGAACGGAACGATGATATAAACTAATGCCGTCTCGTGGTGTCATATTTAAACTATGCTCGAGAAATAGTCTTTCGTTTCGATTTTATTGTCTGCTAGTCACCAAAAGGATTAAACCTTGCGATATAATCATCAAAGAAGATGTTAGAATGATAGTCGTATTTACTGCCAAGTACAATGATATGTTAACCGAAAATATTTCATTATAATTGTAGGAAACCATATAGAAAATCAAAAAAACACGAGATTCCAAGAAATTGATATTAACTTTTATAAATTTGCAAATGTGTATGTGTGTGTGTGTGTCTGGAAATCATTAAAACTCGGCATTTATAATTTCATTGTTTCTTTTCAAAATCTGTTAAAAATGAGAAAATTGACAAATGATATTCAATCGGGGTTTACTATATGCAACTTTTTGTGCATTAGTAATTGCGTGTATCGTATAATAAATTGTTTTTGTGCAACACGCGATCGCGCGCACGCGCGCGTGTGTGTGTGTGTGTGTACATACATACATACAACAAACACAGAAAAGCACGCGCGATATCACTCTTCTGTTAACAAGACACACACGTAATACCGTTGCAGGTTTAAAATACTTTAAGTATAGAAAATAATGTTGACATGCAATGCCATGTATATAGATTTTAATGGTATTACAAGTGCTTTTTATCTTCTTGGTGTAAAACAAGGAAGAAGTATGTAAAGTTTGTATATGCGTGGATTATAATTTGTGTCAAATATCATTGGCATAATGTTAAGACCAAATCATTGTCTTATATTGTAAATAAAATATTTATTGTTTAATATATTTTTCTTAGATGTACTACCATTTTTATAGTAAATTATATATAAAAATTTCTGTCACACATTAATTCGATTGTTAGTTTATGCGCGTGATCGGTATGATCTAAAAAAAACTTATATAATGCACATGCATTGATGCAATAGACAGTATTGTCGGGACAGTGTTTTCACTTTTAATTCATATTTCGTTCATACCTGCCATTGAAGTCACACATGCTACGAGCAAATGATGGTGAACGGGCTTAAACAATTTTTAACAATTAAAACAGGAAGGAAAAGGAGGATAGGATAACTTGCAACATAATTACTGAAAAAATCTATAATTATAGTTACAATGAAAAGTGAACAATCTTATAATATTTATTCGATTAAAATGCATTAACACTGATAAAATTCTGATAAAATGACACATCTATTCATTCATTTAAGGCACAAACTCAAAAATTTGTAATTTTCTTAAACTTTCTAAGATACAAAAAATACGAGAGATAAACAACCAACCTTAGCATGGCCGTAAGTAAATCATTTAATCCTTTATATCCGGCAGCATTAATATAATTATATGTTGGAATATAAATCCCTCCTTCTTTATAGAGAGAAAGATTAATGAATAATAGTATGGAACTAAATTCAATAGTTTATTTATCACAGTCGTGATTTTTATTGAAGTTTAGTGCTTAAATTTTGATCTCTGATCATTAGATATTGATTAGATCGATCATTCGTATAATTTTATTATAAAATTGGTACATCCTTATAAATATTATCGATATGCATTACTTATATGTACAAAACTACATTATAAATCTTATAAGAATAGGATATATTTGGTTGAGCGATATTATACTCGCTGTGGATAAAAATATTTCTCCAAAAAACGAGCGTATTATCGAGCGTGAAAAAATTCTATAAAACTAGTAGTATATGCTTGTGTATAATTTTTCAAAAGTACACCTATATTAAGCAGTATGTATTGTACTATTCAATACTCAGTTAATAATATTCATATAATCGTAACGTTAAACTGAGCATTTCAATTATTCACAGAATCTTCTGTATTTCCTTTTAATTAAAATGCTCTTCCTATATCTTCAAACGTGTAACGTTAGAAGATAAAAATAATTGCACTTTGTATTTTGCAATTGAAGAATATGCGAAGGAAGTATTAACTAAGTATTAAAAATGAAAATTGATACCCATCCTTATACGTTTCACCATTGAAAGTATTCCTAACATAAGTACAATAATTCTTTACTTTATGGTATAAAATAATATATGTTATCTGTGTCTTCGATATATTCAGATAATAACGGTTTATAATATAAAATAAAAATTCAAATATATATGAATATGTAAAGTGCTCCATACAATCAATATTTGAAGTGACATTATATTAATTTACATATAAGCACAATTTTAAAAATATAATGGTATTTTTTCTTTCCTTTAAATGGCAGGTTATGCATGTAATATATTTATATCTAAATTAAAGAATACATTATAACTGATAAAATACTATGTCGTCACACAGTATATGTATATGCACATGTGTATATTGCACACAAAAGAAACTTCATAATCTCATGTTTGTAAATAACATTTTTTAAAAGAAAAGACAATAATATATTATAAACATTATAAAGTACAAAATACTTGTTATTAAAACTCATGTATTTCTATTACATTCCATATTTCATCACTCTTAAACCCAAATGCTGGATTTTATTGACATCCATAATACTGTTTTTCGTATTATCATGTTTTCTTTATAAGGCCAGATTTAAAATGACGGATTTATACACACACACGCACACACACACACACACACACACACACACACACATACCCCCATCATACATATGTACATACACACATACATATATTTAAAAGAGGTTTCTGAATTGGTCGCACGTAAAGAAGAAACTGTCAATACAATAACAATGGTAAACAATTTTTGCATTGATAATATTTTAACGTTTCCACTTTCCCAAGAAAAAAAAAATTTTATATACTCTGATGTCTAGGAAAATCTTTTGTTAAAATAATTGTTAGCACCGTTGTGCTTATTTCAAAATTATAAAAAAAATTAGTTGCGTTACAATTATTTAATTATACACTTTATGGAGAATTCTTTGAGCAGCTTGTATCAATGGCGTTAATGTAGTCAATTCTGCACAATTATCTAAGAACGGATGAGAAAGCAACTCATCTGCGGTTGCTCTTTCATCCACTTCCACAGCAAGGCACCTTTCTAGAAAGTTTTGAAACGTAGGACTAAGCGATTCCCATCTCGGAATGGAAGGTTTGCCAATAGCAGCAATTAAGTATAATGCTCTTAGTGCCGTTTCTTTCATATAAGGTGGCTCACCTTCGATCATCTCTATGGCCATTATGCCAAGAGACCAAATGTCGACTTTCTTACCGTACTGTTTTCTTGTCACTACTTCTGGTGCCATCCAATAAGGAGAACCCACCATAGTTTGTCTCTTTTCGTCACCATTAATATTGGCGCAGAAACCAAAATCTGTTACTTTCACAGCTCCATTCATACCCAAAAGCACATTATCTGACTTTATATCCCGATGAATAATACCCCTTTTATGTAGAAAACTTATTGCTTTTAAAACCTCTCTACAGACAGCAGCAATTTGTGCCTCCTTCATAACAGTCTCGGTAACAACGTCCGTAAGAGGTCCACCTTCTAACAATTCCATGACCACCCATAAGTGATAATCTAAAAGATATGCATCTAAGAAATTAACTAAATTGGGATGTTGAAATTCTTTAAGAACTTTGATTTCAGTCAATATAAGTTCCTTTTTTGGTTGCTTAGATAAGTCAATATCCTTTATAGCTACTTTCTGATTACTTTCAAGATCCATTGCTACAAATACTGTACCAGAAGCACCAGCACCAACTTCCTTACTTCTGTCAAATTTAAGAGTAGGATTACCCCTTTGGCAAATAGATCTGAGCTCATCAAATACCTCTTGGTCACTCAGTTTTACGCAACTATAATCAGTTTTTCTACGTAATACAGGACTTTCTTCTGTTTTTATATTGTAATCTTGTTCTTCCTCCTCTTTCTCTATTTCTTCTTGAAGTAAACTATCATCTTCAATATTGTAAACTTTAAGATCTTCAAGAATTTCTGTCAATGTCTTTTCAATCCTATCGTTCCTATCTATGATATTTTTCGATACTGGCTTTGACACTTTATTGACCTTAGGAGGAAGTTCCGGCAAAGGTCGTATTTGGCTGTCGGTAGAACTGGCAGAATTGGAACTATCTGAGTCACCAGATTGATACTTCTTAGTCAATATTTTGTCGATTTCTTCCGATTCTTCCTCTATCAGATTCTCGGTGACAAGCGCTTTAAATACTTTCTCCTGTGGTTTACGTTTAATCGAATAATTGTAAAACTTGATCGCTTGCAGTGCTGCCGCAGGATTTTCGTCCTGTTCGGACTTTGATATCTGTGTGTTGAGAAAGCGTATCCAAGGAAGTGGTAGGCCTTCCAATTGACCCGTTTCTGCATTTTTACTGACGTGAAACTGATGGGAAACGTTCGTAGGCAAGCCTATTTCCGCCACTGTCTCGACATTGCAACTTTTCTTCTTCGAAAAAAATTTGGTTATGTTTAGGCTCATTTTCGCGCGAAATTCCGCGCTCTTTCAGAATTTTTCCCTTATTATTTCCCAAAGTATTGCCAAACGTATTAAGAGATCGATAATAGGTAATACTAAAGGGCAATAATCCTTTCGATCCAGATTATCATTGTATCTTTCACGAGTAACGTCACTCTTTCCTTACCCCGATATCTTCACTTGCATTAACTTGTCTTCCTTCTACTTGATTCGCCGCTCCGCCCAAATTTTTCTACCGGTCAGTGTTACCATCGAATGAACCTATTCTTATCCTAGATTTGTTCTTGCCTAGTGACATTCGATTGGATCCATAATAAAATTATATCTTTTACTCATGACCGAGACCGGCGGTTCTCCATTCTCATTGGTGATCGCTTATACATCATTTCTTTTTTTTCTTTTTTTTTTTCCAATAACAAAAAGTTTATAGAAACATATCATTTAACGAAAGAAACGTCGAAGAAAAGCTTAAGAATTAAGAAAATTCGATTAATTATACTTGAAAATTGTTGATATTATGATAATCGTATAAAATCTTACGAATTTTGGACGTAGAAAGAAAAATCGGCATTACGTTATATTACGACATACCACTTCCGAACGATAACGATTTTCTTTTCGAGAAATCAGCTAAAGGCAGTTATGTCGATAGAATACACATATCTACGTATCTACAATATTACAACGGTATTTCTCACAATTATATACAATATCAGATTATATATAAAATTGTTATTTTAATTTTTTATTTAACCTTTTAGAGTTGCAAAAAAACACGATAAAATTATTCGATTCTTTGTTAACTTATCTTTCGCGAATGCGCATGTATTCTCGAAAGGGGGAAAGGGTTGCCTTTGAAATCATGGCCGCGATTTTAAAATAAGTCACAGAATGTCAGACGTACGCGTCTGATAGACGGAAAATATAACAAGTGTGACAAGGTCAATTTGACTTGGATTTCAAACGCTTCGCTAGGAAAAGAGAAACAGAGAATTAATTTAATAGCAAGTAACGCATTATGCGATAAAGAAGTATTTTCTGTGTTTTATAAACGAAATGTTTTAATAATAATCGAAGGTTATTATTGTCGTTGGTTTTCTTCTTACAAAAAGAAAACTTCGTTTACCTTCGTCGTGAAGAAACGATGGAAAAGGAAAATTGATAACTCGTTATTCATCCTTGAAATGAGCACGTCTCGAGGACGCCATATTGATTTTACCACCAACATTTTCTTCCTGTGTGAACTTGGCCGTGGCCGTACGCCCGCTGACAAAAATGGCCGATTACGTTCGTGGTAGTGTCATTTTGTAAGCTGTTGTAGGCAGTCGCTGCATACGTTGCGTGGATTCGAGTACGTTTCTGAGAAGACGTATACAAGAGGAGGATTTAGGCGAAGACATCAGTTTCACAGGGTGCTAAGCTTTTCGGCTGCGCGCGAGTGTGCGCTTGCGTGCGGCGTGCGTGCGTGCGTGCGTGGGTGGGTGTTCTGCGTGTAACGCGCGCGCGCGTATTTTCCCCCGTGTGTGTGTGTGCGCGGCCCTCTGCGTGTACGTGTGCGCGCCTATGGTAGTTCGAAAATTTTTCATCGTTAAAAAAAAGAAAATATTTTTTGTCTTCACGGTCTTTTCCTTTTAAGCGAGGATTAAACGATCGTATCGAGGAGCGTCCAAACAAACTCTGTCCATACCTGTACTCTGTCTATATCTGTAACATCAACGAAATAAATAATGGCGAATCTAAGACAGACACCGCTAACGTGCAGCGGACATACGAGGCCCGTCGTACATCTTGCCTTCTCCGATGTTACGGAATCCGGATATTATCTCATTTCAGCGTGCAAAGGTAATTTCGAATCGAAACATTCCATTTCGACGTTCCAAATTTGATAATAGTCATCGAATACGTTTCGCTCTTTTTTTTCTCGTTTTACAATCACAATCGTCTCGATCACCTTGGCCCAATTTCATGCGTAGAGTAACGTCGAACGACTACTCTCAATGTTTTACGCCTGATCTCGATCAAATTGAACTTCTTACATTTTTCTTTGTTTAGAGATTTTATGTTTCTCTTTTATTTCCTTTTCTATATCCTTATATTATTATCTGATTGTATTTGAATTGTTTCAGATGGTAAGCCAATGTTACGGCAGGGTGACACAGGAGATTGGATTGGCACGTTCGAAGGCCACAAAGGAGCAGTGTGGGGTGTTGCCTTGAATCCACAGGCCACAAGAGCGGCAACTGGTGCCGCAGACTTTAATGCAAAAGTTTGGGATGCCATTAAAGGGGAAGAGGTTTATTCTTTTCAACACAATCACATAGTTAAATCGGTTAATTTTAGTTCAGATTCAAATTATTTATGTACCGGCTCCAATGAGAAGCTGGTGCGTATCTATGATCTCAATCAGCCCGAAGTGGCACCACAGGTAGGGATTGGGAATATATGCTCTATCATAAAATAATATAACACATATGTAGCTGCAAATGATGCAAGATTATTTTCTTATAGATTTTCTCAGGTCATACAAGTGGAATTAGGCACGTTACTTTCTTCAAGGACAATACTGCATTAGTTTCTTGCGCCGATGATAAAACATTAAGAGTTTGGGATAGGAACAGTGGTCAAGAAACAAAAAGGCTAGATTTTCCTGCTATCCCAAATTCTATGGAAGTATCTAAGGATGGCAATATTATCACAACGACTCATTCCAATATTGTTACTTTCTGGGACAGTAAAGAGTATGTCTATGTCAACAATTATTAGTCTGGGATAGAAAACATTTACTATCGTTTATTTTTCCTACGTTGCTAAATGTTTCAAGGTTTATGCGACCCTCTACCGTATTTTACGCTTAGTTTACATGCGCATGACTTTTAAGCTCAATTAATTTCCTTGTCATGTATTTGTAAATTCATTGCCAATGCGTCAGTTCACCTTGGCCCAATAGAAAGTTTTTTCCTGTATATAAATTAAATGCCGCGTGTCTCGATGCTTATGACACTCTATTTTCTTTCTTTTTCTTCATCTTTTTTCTTTTCTCTTTTTTTCTATTTTTTTCTTTTTCTATTTTTCCTTTTTCTATTTTTCCTTTTTTTTTCTTTTTTTTTGTTTCTCAATAACTACTTCGTAACAATATTTCGTTATAATATATAAGTTATTTTTTCTTTTTTAGATTAACTAAAATACGTGACTTCACAGTGCCAACCCAAGCAAACAGTGCCAGCTTGCATCCTGACTGCAGCATTTTTGTATGTGGTGGTGAAGATTTAAAAATGTATAAATTCGATTATAGTACAGGTGCAGAAATAGGTATGTATTTACTATAAAATTAAAACACTATAACATTTCTTATTAAATTTTACTAAGCTCATATACATTTTTTATCGTATAGAATCATTCAAAGGACACTTTGGATCAGTACACTGTGTAAGATTTTCGCCGGACGGAGAACTTTATGCTAGTGGCTCGGAAGATGGAACTTTGAGATTGTGGCAAACAACTGTCGGCAAAACTTATGGATTGTGGCGTTGCGTTGAGCAAGCACCGACTATTCAAGAAAGTGCTACTGTTATTAATAACAAACAAGAAGTTCCTGCCAGCTAAATGCATTTTTCTATTATTTACAATTTACAATGACGAATTCGCGAAACGAGAATGAAGGCAAAATGTTAAGGAAAAAACAAGAAGAAAAAAAAGAATCTCTTATCCAGCAAAATGTATCGAAAATTTTTTTCATCTCCAATTTACCATCAAAATATATTTTGTAAATAATGCATTTTTTGAGAGTTTCCATACCTCAACGAGTGGTTTTCTGAAGTTACAAAAAAGACTAAATGAAAAGAACCAAATTTTTATAGTCTAGCAATTATCTACGTAGACGCGGGACATTCATTGCTATTTATATTAGAACAGAAAATCGAAGAAAAGAGAGAGAGAGAGAAAAAAGAGAGAGAGAGAGAGAGAGAGAGAGAGAGAGAGAGAGAGAGAGAGAGAGAGAGAGAGAGAGAGAGAGAAGGAAACATTTACTAACGTTGTACACATGTCATTATTATAATATCACAAAATTAGATAGAGGTGTAATACGGAAAACAAAAGACGATTAAATAATTCAATTTTGTGTTGTTATTTCATAATACCTTCTGTATATAACACAATAATTGCCTATATAGAAAACCATAATACAAGTTAAAATGGCTCCACAAAAATTCATCAATTTTAATAAGTTTGATAATACAGGAAATTAATTATTTACTTCTTTTTCTTTCTTTTTTTTTTAAATTGCGAATATAATACGCGTAATAATGTATTATACAATAATTGCAAAGAAATTATTTTAGTTGACGAATATTTACTGAATTGACTCTATTATTTTCAATGATTTTATTTTATAAAATTTCAAGCAATTATTAAATCATATTTTACTAAAGATGGATTACAAAATGTATCTGTTCTGCCATATTGCACTTGAACCACCAAGGTTGAAGATGAGACTAGACTCAAAGTTGAAACTTAATTACGATAATGTCTTCGTCATATGTCAGGACATAGCTTCTCTCGCAACCATCCATTTTGCATGTTCGATTGAGATAATGATAAGTTTATATGTATGTATATACAAATAATTGAATAATATATTTCGTGATAATAACGGAATACTGTCATTGTCAAACTGACTTCCTAATCTTTTGAAATCTTTTATTCAGAAGTAATCTTTTATTCAAGCAAAAAGCATTTACACACAACACGAATATATATTATACTTATATATATATATAATTATTACAAAAAGGAAATATATATATATATATATATATATATATATATATATATATATATATATATATATATATATAATATATATATATATATATATATATATATATATATATATATATAATATATAAATAATTTCTAAAGATATAATAAAAAATAATGAAATTAAATAAAATTATCTATAATATGTAACCATTGTGAGACAGGAGAAGTGAACAATATTGAAAGATAGAAAAAAATCATCATAGAACATAATAAATAACTTTTGATTGAATTTAAATATAACCATTAGCCCGACAGTATTTGCATTATTTATTGCATATCGCAAATAATATTGATTTCCAAGTCTTACCACAAAGAGATTGCTGCATACGGAGACCCAACTGTTAATAAAAATCTAATAAATTTTTAAAAATAAAACAATAACTGCAGCTGTAAACATGATGACTAATAAATTAAAAGTATACAAATTCTTAAAACATCCTATGTAACAATAAACTTTCTATAATTTTAAATTTATTGTGATAAAATTGGAATAAACATGTTCATTAATAAAATATGTAATTAAAACGAAATCAATCGATGCCTTTTGTAGGTCTTTACTCGTTGAAATATTGTATATAAAAAAGATCTTTTTCCTATCCTTGAGAGAGTTTGAATGACCGAATGTTTGTTTTACTCTCAGTCGGAGAATTTCTTAGAAATATACAAGTTAATGCGTATCTCCTGGTTGAATGTTACCTATTTCTATTATTAAAAAAAGATAAATTTACTTGTACTTGTACGAAGAGAAGATCGTATATAAAACTGGCGTATTTGATTTTGTTTTATTCTAGCTCGTTGAATTCTTGGATATCTGAAAAGTATGCGATCATATTAAACAGGATAAGATTAAAAGTGTGTGCATTTATATATGTGTACGGAATATCCATAGATTTGTATATAAGTAAGTATGTGTGTGTTGTATATATATATATACAGTGAAAGACAAAAATATTTAAACACCATGATATATTTGAATAAATCGGTGTGTATTTCGATTGCTCATGAATAAAAAAAATTTTTTTTTCCTGTTACGTTTCACTTATTGTAATTAATAAAGATATATAATTTAATGTATCTGTGTTTAGCCATTACAATTTTGCATGCATTATAGACGAAATATTGTTAATCAAAACTAACAAAGTTAAACATTAAAATTCATTTTTAATTATTTAAACGATGTATAATGAATAAGGGATACAATGGATAGTATCATCGCATTAATACTACATTGCCCATAACACGAGTAATACATAAAATGATTTTAACTTAATATTAAATTCATTTTAATTAAGAATCTCAGAGTTGTTGGGTACACGTAAAATATCGATGAAAACGAACGATAGATTGACTTTGACGAATATCGAAACAGTTTTCTATTGCCTTCTGAAGGGTAACTATGGAAATTCTCTCTTTCCGTACAGTTAAATTTAAATAAATCATTATTTCGATAATTTTAGAATTTTTTAAATATACGAATTTGAAACATACGCAAATTATAACTAACTAGTATTTAAACAATAGCAATAGAATTTAAACATTACGTAGCTCGAAACGTAAATATTAAAAAGAAATATAAATGAATATTTAAATAGTGTTAAATTTTCAATATAATATTATATGCGCTTCTTATGACGCATTGAATTTGGAATATTTTTCTTTCAGCATGCGTTGATCGTTTAATGTCAACAAGGATCTTTGGAAGGACAATGCGAGTTACCACGTCACGTCAGTATCTTTCCGTACGCCGAGGAGTAAACGTCGAAATAAAATCTTTTCGTATCGCTACATTCAATCATCTTACAGATACGAACATTTTATTCTTATTTAAACAATGTACAATGTACTCGGAGTATTATGAGGTAATAATTAAACAATTAATTACGTAATTACGTAATTACATTACTTAAAGCGTCGCATAGCACGTTAGATGGAATAATTTACTTTCAACCTTCGTCGATCGATGACATCAACAAGAAGGACTATTGGAAGGACAATGCGAGTTATCACGTCGGTCTTCTTTCGTACTCCGAGGAATAAACGTCGAAATATATTCTCTTCATACAGATACATTTAATCATCTGACAGATACGACTATTATCTAATTATATATTAGTGTACAATATATGCGAAATGCGATAATGCAATATTTAAGCAATAGTATATTCTGTTAAAGAACGTATAGCCCTTAAGACCCGTCCATAATGGACCCGACATAGAATAAAGTAATATTTAAACAATAATACATTAGTTTAAATATTTAAAAAGACGGAAACGAGCTAGAGACTTGTAATAATTTTAATATAAAATTTCTCTACTTTAATAAATAATAATTTTAGTCACGTAATAGTTGGCGTAATGTAAACATAAACGGATTTTTTCTTAAAACTTTGATGATTGCTGAATTAGTTATCTTTTATATTCCGACGAGATATCTTTTATATTCACATCGTAACTTTCTCATTACAAAAATTTATAAATTAATATTTTCAATAGTTTTTCGATTATTTAAACAATCTGCAATGTACGCGGAATAGAATAAATTAATATTTAAACAATAATACATTCGATTAGACATTAAAAAGATGGTATTGCTCGAGAAACTAAAAATAATTTTAATTTAAAATTACAATACTTTAAAATTTTGATCTAAGAGTAGTTGGCCTTGTGTAACATAAACATAAACGTGCTTTATCTTAACTCTGACGCGTTACATAGTTAGTTTTCTGTTGCTTTTCGTGTGCTTATTACAATCTCTCTATTTTTAAATGCAAAAACTTATAAATTAATAATTTCGGTAATTCCTTAAAATATTTAAACAATATAAGTGTTTACGGAGTACAAATAAAGTAATATTTAAACAATAGTAGATTTGTTTAAACGTTATAAAGAAGGAAATTCGCGAGAAATTTAAAATAGTTTTAATATAAGATTCCCATACTTACAAATTTTATTTTGGGGTTATTGAACTTGTGCAATATAAACATAAACGGTCGGTTTCGATTAACTTTGAAAATTACCGAGTTAGTTTACTTTTGTACTCCGAGCAGTGCACATCGACTCTCTCTTTTTCTAAACGCGAAATTTTATAAATTAATAACTTCGGTAAGTTTATAATTATTTAAATAATCTTTAATTTACGGTGCATAGAATATATTATGTAATAGAGTGCATAGAATATATTAGTAATATTTAAACAATAGTACATTTATTTAAACATTAAAAAGACGTAAACGCGTGCGGGACTTAGAATAATTTTAATATAAATTTCTATTACTTTAAAATTTTAATTTCGGGGTAGTTGCCTCGTGGAATATAAACATAAAATAAGTTCTCCTTTATCCTTTGATGAGTAAATACCAAAAGTCTTTCAGGATATTTTTGTTGCAAGTACCAACGAATATTTGAGGTAAATATATTTTTATATCGATTTATACGCGAGAATACGAGCAGGATAGGAAGAACACTGGCGCGCGTGTCGGCGGGCACAGGAGTGGGTGTTCTCGAGCGCGATTAAACTTCGTTTGATTGCTCGCGACGAAATGCGGATTATAAAGTAGAGTCACTTTTATTCTAACACTCACGTGGGTGTTTGGGCGCGATTAAAGTTCTACCGTGGACTTCGTTTTATTTGCTCGACAATTCGATTAGATTATCTCGCGAATGCGTATATTAGAGTAGAGTTAGCGTTATTCTAATATACACGTGAGTGTTTCGAACGCGATTAAAAGTCCTACTGAGGACTGCGCTTTTATTGTTCAAAATCCGGAAAGCATGAATGGTCGTACTGAATAATCCGTGATGTCTGTGGTTGAGGGTGTCGAACGGTGGAGCTATCGGTAAGAGAGGTCTCATACACTTCCAGTTAGCTGAGAAGCCCCAAAACACCCGAATCGGAAAGGCGTCACGGATTGGTACCACGGAACGTGGATTTTAGAGTAGAGTCACCGTTAGGCCGCAGGTTTTCATATGCAGCAACTTCCACGTAGTAAGACCTGGATCGGTATTACTTGCCAAGTCTAATTTTATATCATATAACGCAAGTATTACCGAGCGAATGGCTGCATGTTTTTACGCGTTTTCAACATTTTTTTTTTTCATATCTTACTAGACATTCATTTATATTTTATTAATCGTATTTTCTGCTTTTATTTTCGCGATCATTTGTTCGGCTTTTTTACGAGGTTCTAATTAGTAATTGATTAGCTTTCATTTCAGGTTATATTAGATTTTCAAATATTCGTACAAAGTTTATCGAGGATTATGCCGAACGGATGTGCGGAGAATAATCCTGCAAATATTTTTGCGATGAACGATGGATATCAGAAACAGTACATATTTGTACGATGGATACCAGCTCGATATGCCTTCATATCGTTCTCGTTGAGTTCAGGTAATCTGTAGATTTTTTTTAACATACATCCTTTTCTTATATACCAATGATAGTTAAAGACGCGAGGTCGCGATTGCAAATTTAGACATTGTGGCTTTTAAAAGGTATTCAGGAAAATGAAATCAATTTGCTGAGCAGTTTTTCAATTGAGAAGAAAATCATGTAGATTGGTAATAGTAATGAAGCACGTAGTATACGTTTTATTATTGTTTTATGCAAACAATACAAAAGATACTAAGAATAGAACCAAGTAATAAAAATAAAACGTGGCTACACGTTTGCTTGGGTAAAATATGATACTCTTTGTTACGACCCGACCATCATTTTTCTTACAAAGACATGACAGTGAAACTTTCAGAATCACGTTAAGAGGAAAAAAAACATAAACAAAAGAAGAAGACCAACCGACAAGACGCTTACGTCGGTGTAATCTTGTGTAGAGATACACCATTGAATCGTTCTTATTCGTGCTTGGTATCGATGTTTTCAACAGCTCCTTTTAATCTAGAATTATTGGTGATAATTACAAATAACTTAGTCTTTCATTTACGTTACGTTTCTTGTTAACTAATAGTATTTAGCCGAATAATTTATATTTTATTAATAGTATTTTTTATTTGTACCAAAATTTAGCTCGATTCTTCACGATTGAATCAAGAAAACATCTTTCGAGAACCCTTATTCCAGAGTTATCATAATGGATCACGGTTGGAAAAAAGCGAACAACACTGATTGCATCGCTCGATGATTTAGCGCGATGAAGAAAAGAAAGAAATGTCGGAAGATGCGATAGAGCTGATAACAGACATCTCGTTGATCCCTGGATTCTGTTAAAATCAGAGTAGGATAATGCAGCTATATGTTTCTCTATCGAAAGAAGGAGACCCGCCCCTTCTTCGTGGTTATTGCCTTTATATAATAATGTACAACAATCGATTCCTCAGCTTCGGGCATAGTTGTGACGTCGTTCGGAAATTGAAAAGTAGAAAGAAAATTATTAGTATCATTGTTGTAATAAAAAAGCGTTGAAAATATTTTTAATGTTTGCTGTAAAAATAAGTATATATAATCTTTAAAGAAACAAACTATTGTTTATTTAAAAAAAGTAATATATAAACAGTTCTTGCGCATCATCTAGCGAGAACGTTGCCGCAGTAGTCGCCGGAGACCTCATTGTTCGCAGTTTCTCTCCGTCCTTTTCTGCAATTAGACTGTAGTTGCTGCGATCCCCTTCTATAACTAGATTGTAGTCGCAAGGGTTTCCCTCTTCTGCACCGAACTTGTAGTCGCTGGAGTCACGTACGAATTCGGAGTTTCTCCTTGTTGCATCCATTATCGAGTCGTAATTCTGTTCTTACGTATTTAGGTTATTTATTTTATATCAACACGTTGAACGTTTTAATAAATCTTAATACTTATAAATTTTTCGGGCGAAGAAATGCTTTTCAGCGCCATGTGGGGATTATAGGTGACTACCAGTAAGAAAAATTCATGAAACAAGTATATATATCTCAACTTATCGGTTGTAAATCACTTTTCAATATAATATGTAATACACAATAAACAATTCATGGTGGCGACAAAAGCAATTGATGTAAAATTGGCATTAACATGGCATTCAACGTGTTAACACATTAAATTTAAATTATGTCAACATATTAATTTATACAAATTTTTGCTGTACGTACATTTGTTCGCCACTTTTTTCAAGATACATTTTATTTTTGTCTGCTGATATTGTGTTGTTACATTGTAGTTCTTATTTTTATTACTAATATCAAAATAATTATTACTGTGTAACTATTATATTCCTATTCTCATTATTATTATACGTATTATTATGATTATAGTTAACAATAAAATTATTTATACTGTTTTCATAATTACCAATAAACTTATTGGTACTATTATTATTAGCTTGTATTTCGCTCGCGTACGATTTGCGTCTGGTTGTCTCACAGAAATAAGTTTTAGATGTTTCTTAGTTATTTCTTAGTTATTTCTTAGTTACTTCTTAGTTATTTCTTATTTTGTCTAATCGCGTCTTCGTTGTTTCTTAGCCGTGTCTGCTCGCATTCCAGTTGCGTCTCCTAGTGTCTCTTTCGCGCCTGGGTTGCGTCTGAGTTGCGTTTCAGTTGCGTTATAATTGCGCTTGAGCTGTGTCTCTTTTCCGATACATTTGCGATTGCTTACTTCTTAATATAGTTTATAATAGGTCGTGGTTGCGACTGAGACGCGTCTAAGTTGCGACAGGGTCGTATCTGGGTTTCGAACGGGTATTGCTTGTTACATAAGGGTTGCATCTGGTTAGTAATTTGTTAGCGTCCAGGTTGCGTTTGATTATCGAGCGGTAAGCACTCCAGCTGGCGGAGAAGTATATGGCTGTTAGAGGTGCGGAGGAATCTGTTCCCCCGCATGCTAAGGCTGTATTGGGTGCTCTTGCCAGAAGTAGGACAATAGAAGCATGGAAGGCTGAGGAACTATAGCTCGTAGGGGCACCAGAGGCAACGGGAGTGCGCACGAGGGCGGCCATTGTCGAATGGTTGGCTGAGTGGATTGGAAGGCCGTCCTCTATCGGAACGACATTTCACACCACACAGCTGATGACCAGCCATGGTTGTTTCTCGGCATATTTAAATGAAATAAAGAAGATTCCCTCCTCACGTTGTTTCCACTGCGAGGGGAGTGAGGATACGGCGGAACACACCCTGATCGACTACCCGGCGTGGACGGATGCCAGGAATGAATTGATCGACGCGATGTAGGGAGGGCAGCTAACCCTTCCCGTGATAGTTAGGGTCTCCCTGACTATCCCGGGAAGATGGGCGGCCTTTCGGACCTTCGCTGGACGGGTCATGCGTGCAAAGGAGGACGCTGAGAGGTACAGGGAACGATCGCGAGGAGAAGATGGATGTGTGAATGAGCGTGCGGGTGTGTACGTAGATGGGAATGCGAACGATAGGCCGCATAGGAGACTAGCTCCAGTGCGGCCACCTCGGGCAAAAGGCTCCGAGCGACTCAGGCGGCGCCTGGCTCAAGCGTCGCTTCTCTTTAGACGTGAGTGCGGGTATACGAACATGAATGGGCCCGGTCAGAGCACCATGGGGTGGAAATCGGGCCAATATGTATATAGTCAGGGAGTAATTGCGTCTCCAGGAGCTCGTGGGCCCCTGTCGAGTGCGCCATATTGGCGTAAATGTAGATGAATGATTGAATGAGAGCAAGGCGAATACCGGCCTGGCTCACCGAGGAGGGGTGTTGGGTGAATTTGTAATACGAATATGCGTGATTCCGCCCACTCCCTTTTCACCTCAGCGTGTTAGTTATAAGGATCGGGAGGTTTTTTAGTCGGTAGGCGATCCGAACCTGGGAGCATTATCAGACGGGCTGAATCCGACACTCCCCTGAGTATCGGGCTCAGGATACCTATGAAGGCTTTTCCCCCTGACGAAACAAAAAAAAAATGGTTAGCCATCGGTTAGTGTTTAGGTTGCGTCTGGTTATCGAACGTATTTACTATTATTGCTATTATTGTTATTATTATTATTAATATTACTGTTATTGTTGTTGTTATTGCTTTTATCATTGTTATTATGCTTATATTATTATTATTATCATTCTTATAATTATTATTGTTACTACTATTATTTTTGTTATTGCTATTATTGTTATTGTTATTATTATTGATATGTGTTTAATCATTATTGTTATTATTATTATTATTGTGATTATAATTTTTGTTACTACTACTATGTTTATTATTGTTAATATTGTTATTATTGTTATTATTATTATTGCTATTTCTATTATTATTATCTATGCATTTGTTATTATCATTATTATTTTTATATTTATTATTATTATTACTATTATTATAGTTTATAATAATAATAATAACAAAAATAACAATCGTAATAAAAATAATAAGAATAATAATGACAATAATAACAATAATAATAACAATAATAAGAATAATAATGACAATAATAACAATAATAATAACAATAATATCAATAATAATAACAATAATAACTATAATAATAATAACACTAATTACAATAGTAACTACAATACTATCAGTAATATCAACAATAATAACAATAACGACTACAATATTTAAAATTACGGAAAGAATAGTAACAACAATATCATTAGAATAATAGCAATAATAATAATAACAATAATAATAATAACAAAAATAACAACAAGAATAACAATAGTAATATCAATAATAACAACAATAAAACAATAATAACAATAACGCTATAAATGATCACAAATACTTCAACAACAATAACAATAATAATAACAATAATAAAAACAATGTTAGAAATTATAACAATAAGAATAAAAATAATAACTCAATAATAACAATAATAATAATAATAACAAAAAATAATAACAATAATAAGATCAATAATAAAAACAACGATAAAAATAATTAAAATAACAATAACAGAAATAACAATAATGATAACAATTATCGCAATAATAACAATAATGATAATAATTATATCAATAATAACTATAATTATAACAATAATAACAACAGCGATAATAACAATAGCAATAATGGTAACAATAATAACAACAATAATAATAAAGTAATAACAATACTAATAACAACAATAACAATAACAATCAAAAGAAGAAGAAGAAGAAGAAGAAGAAGAAGAAGAAGAAGAAGAAAAAGAAGAAGAAGAAGAAGAAGAAGAAGAACAACAACAACTGCAACGACGCCGAAAACGACAACGACAACGACAACGACAACAACAACAATAATAACAACAGCAATAATAATAACAATAACAATAACAATAATAATAATAATAATAATGATGACAATAATATTAATGACATTAACAATAATCATATTAATAACAATAATAATAATAATAACAATAACAATAATATTAATGACATTAACAATAATAATAACAATAACAATTATAATAATAATATCAATGATAATAACAAAAACATTAACAATATTAATAATAATAACATTAACTATAATAATAATAATAACAATAACAATAATAGTAATAATAACAATAGCAATAATAATAATAATAACAATATCAATAATAATAACAATAACAATAATAATTATAATAATATTAATTATAATAATATCGATAAAAATAATATAAATAATTACAGTAACAATAACAATAATAACAATTATAATAATAATAACAATAATAATAATAATAATAACAATAATAATAATAATAATAACAATAACAATAACAATAATAATAATAATAACAATCATAATAACAATAACAATAAGAGTAATAATTACAATGACAATAATAATAACAATAATA